CACAATCTCTGCAAGGGTGGGGGACCCCAGAAGCTTTTCCTTCTCTTAGAAAAGTGGAGAGGGCGGGGGCAAGCACCCCGTGACTTCCTCTTCTTCCCAACAGTGTAACAAGATGGGGGAGGAAGGTGGGAAGTCAGAGGCCAGCCCTAGGGGGCTGTGGGTTCCTCCAGCACCCCAAAACCCTCCCATCAAGCCAGTGGGCTCTGCAGCTCTGGTTTCTCTCGTGGCCACTTCCGGACTCTGGGCAAGCTCCATCAGGTCTCAAAAGAGTTTCTGTTTTTGTCTTCCTCTGGGTAGATATTCCATTAATTAATGGAAGTGTTCTCTGGCCAGTGGAATGGGAGCAAGTATATGGCCACTCAGGAGGTGCCTGGCACGTGATTCCCAGAGAGCAGGACAGCTCACACTGTGCTCCAGAGTGGCCAAGTCTGCTGTTAGGTGCTGACACCAGGCAGCTGTGGCAAGAACAAAGATGAAGAGTCATGGGGAGACCAGAGACATGTCCCCATGTCTCACGTCCGCCCCACCCAGGTCCTCACATTCAGCACCCTCACATCCTGACATCAAATCCCCATGCTCATGCTCCTGAGTCCTATGCCTCACATGGCCCCTCAGGTACCCTTATCCTCACGTCCCCACATCCTACATCTTATCTTCCATGTCCCCAGGGCCCATGTTACTACATCTCCTCCTTCTCATGTCCCTCCATCCCATGCGCCCATGTCCTCACGTGAACTCTTACATCCACGTTCCCACACTGCTTGAGGTCCCCACTTCCTCACATGTCCACATCCCCACGCCTAAGAAGGACAGACTCGCCCATCAGACCCCAGCGCGGCCTCCGGGTGGGATTGCTGCTATTCTCTTCAGTCATGTTGACTTTGTAGATTTGTTTGTAATTTGTGTGTGAGTTTATATTTAATTTACAGCGGTAATGGGCTCACGAGAAAAAACCATTTTATGTTGATGCATATTTGAAAACCATTAAAATAAAGAATAAATTAGGTCAACCCTGAAGGCATGTGAGAATTCCTTCGGAGGGCTTCTCTTCTGCTCGCCTGAAGACTCAGCAGACACATTTTCCAGGATATGCAACAAATCCTGTGGCAAGTGCCACCTGGGCCCCACCCTGGCCCGTGGCCACTGGTTGGGGCAGCGCCCATTGCTCCACTGTCAGCAGGTCTGGCATGGTGGGACCAATGGTGCCACGGACCAGTCAGGCCCATCTGTCTGCTTTCCTGAGTCTCGACTCCTGCACAGGGGGACAGACCCTGACTCGGGGGCATGGGTGGCTCCTGCCAGAATGTTCTGCCCCAGAAGAACAGCCTCTAGAGCTGTTCACGCAACACTGAGCGCTTCCCTAGGCAGGTGGCTTTCAACCTTGGAGAGACAGGAGCCCCTGCCTGATGAGGCCTGGCGCTCCCTGGCCACCTGACTCTGGTGTCTGTGCTCAACTCACTTGGTCCAGGCCAGTGTTCACTGTAGCACTGTAGCACTGTAGCACTGTCATCCTGTTGTTCAACGATTTGCTCAAGTGGGCACCAGTAACGTCCCCATTGTGAGACTTGTTGTTACTGTTTTTGGCATACCGGATATGCCATGGGGAGCTTGCCAGGGTCTGCCATGCCGGCGGGATACTCTTGGTAGCTTGCCAGGCTCTCTGAGAGGGATGGAGGAATCGGACCTGGGTCAGCCTCGTGCAAGACAAACACCCTACCTGCTGTGCTATCACTCCAGCCCCAGGCCAGTGTGGGTGAACTCAATCTGGAGTCACATAAGCAAGCCCCCATCCCCACCAGCTGGAATGCCTGGGTTAAGAAGTCTGGGATGTCTTTATGCCCAGAGACCCCTTTATGCCAGCGGATCTGGAGCCTGTGGGGAGCCTGTCCAGGCTCGAGCAGCAATGCCCTACTGCACATATACTTCATCCTTCAACCATGAGCTCTGGGTGGGGGGGTGAAATCGTGACATCAGAGCTCCCCAGGGCATTCCCCATGTAGTTCCTGCTCCTCCTCCTCCCCACTCTCTCCCTCCATCCTCCTCCTCGCTTCCTTGTCCCTTCCTCCTCTCCTTAAGAAATAAACCACAGGGCAAGTGTCCAAATGGAGGTGTTGAACTGAACCAAAATGCACCCCTGGAGGGGCTGGAGTGATAGCACAGTGGGGAGGGCATTTGCCTTGCACGCAGTTGAGCTGGATTCCCAACATCCCATATGGTTCCCCGAGCACTACCTGGAATGATTCCTGAGTGCATGAGCTAGGAGGAACCCCTATGTATTGCTGGGTGTGACCGAAAAAGAAAAAGAAAAAAAAATCACAGGAGTTCAGGGTCTTTTCAGGGTGAGGAAAGGAGCTGAAGTGGGGGCAGCAGGGCCTAGATGTGGGCAGGAATTTGGGAAAGGAAGGACACCTGACCAGGAGCTGGTGGCCTGCCAAGGACATCAGGAACAGCCAGCCCAACTTCTCTGGACTCCGTTCAGTCAGGCTGCTGGAAGGCTGCCAGGGCCCGGGGACAGGAGTGCCTTGGCAATGTCCAGACTTCCTGGGCCACCTGTTCCCTCTCAGGGTCCCCTTCCACCAATAGCACAGGAGGGGGGAGAGAGAGCATGTGAGTCAAAGGCACAGGACAGCTGGGAGTGGGGTGTCACTGCTCTGCCCAGGCCCCCACTTCTGTCCTCCATGAAACCAGGACACTAGTCAAGAATGTTGGAGGCGTCCAACTTTCCAATTGATTTTCTGAGCCCTGAGTCAATCCAAGTGGTACCCCTCCACCTTTCCAGTTCATTCCCCTTCCCCAGGCTTAGAACATGAAAGGGGACCCGAGACTCCAGGCTCTGGTGGCAGACACGTGTCACCACGTCATCTATCCTGTTTGCACTATATAAATTGAGAGGTCACTGAAAGAGGAAGAAGAGGCCACCGGGTGGTGGGGGCCAGGCTTTGGGGTGATGGGGGAGGGGACAGGGGTTGAGGAAGAAATGGACTTTTCCTCTCAGCATCCTGTCTGCGACAGTGGGGACAGCCAGTGAGCTGCCACCCTGGAAACCACGGAGGGCGCACTCAGTCGCTGCACAAAGCCACGGTTCTATGCCTGGGGCACTGTGCAGGATGTGTGTATCAGGAACCCTCAAATGATGCTAAGGATGGGGACGCGAGGCTGCCCTGGCACCCTTTTCTCTCTGTCCCTTCTGGCTTCCTAAATTCTTCTCTGCCTAGGCCACCAGCTGCCACTCTTACCACCTGGCCCAAATGGAGCAAACAGGGGCAACCTAGGAGCTTCTGGTAGAGAGGACAGGGGTGCTGACGGGGAGCAGCCCATGCTGCTTGCATGCTGACACCAAGTTAGGAGTGACCTAGAGTGGGTAGTAAGGTGAGCCAGTGCCTGACACAAACCCACGCCCTACCCCACTGCACCTCACCATCCTGTCCTGCCACCAGTTTGCTCAGAGGAAGACTCTGCTCTCTCTCTCTGTCTCTCTCTCTCTGTCTCTCTCCATTCTTCCTTCCCTTCCTCCTACTTTCCCCCCTCAGGCCATTCTGGGGGTCTGCATTCTCAGTGTGCACAGGGCCCACGGGTGCATAGTCACAGAGGACATGAGCCTGACAGGAGCCTCCTTGGGAATCCCCTTGGGCTATTTCCTGCAGGATGAAAGAACACCAGGGGCTCACTCAGTATTTCACCAGGGTCCCACTCAGTACTTCACCAGGGGCCCACTCAGTATTTCACCAGGGGCCCGCTGAGTACTTCACGGGGATTTTCAGCCAGAGCCTCAGTGGGACAAAAGCAGCACTGGGTGGGGCAGGGAACTTCCCAGAGCACCACTGGTGATGGGGTCCCCTTTGGCTTCTTACTCCATGGCCACCTGGGACTCCACAGAGGACGCTCCAAGGTCATTTCCCAGGCATTTCCAGAGACCTGGAACCCTGTAGAATCCTTCATGGACCCCAATGGCAAAGTACACGTCCCACCAGCCCCCACAGGGCTTTCTTGCTCTCTCGGGACAGCGAGCGCGAGTTGGGGGGGCGGCTGTCAGCTGGGGCAACCGACACCCTTCCTCACCAGATCCCATAGACACTTCAGCTCTGGCCACAGCAAACCTGACTCTCAGGTGAGGGCAGTTCGGATGGTTAGCCAAGGCCTCTGGCCATTGTCCACCTCACGACGCGCTGCCCAGGGCCACTCTGCCCCGAGCCACTGCGATACCAAGAGGCCAAAGAGCTGCTCTGGAAATGCTCTCATGTATTTATTTCACAACAGGGTGGGTGGGGTGGGGGAACGCCAACAAGATGCCACCAACAGAGACACGAGGGAGCCCAAACTGGACAACTACAGAGCTGGGTTCCGGGCAGGGGTGGGGTTGGGGATGGCACGAGGGAGAGATGGAAAACTGGCAGAAGGGACAGCCCTCTGGCTGGGGCACCAATCTGGACCAGGTCGGACCAGGCCCCTGGCCAGGGGCAGGTGGCCATGCCCCGCCAGCATCTCAGTAGCCTCCATCTAATCCTCTCTAACAATGAAGTGACCAGACCGAGGCCGTTTTCCAGGACTGCTCTGGCTCGCAGTCACACGTCCACATACGCACACATGCGCGCGCGCACGCACGCCCATGTGCACGCACATGCATTCACACACACACGCATGCACACACACACACACACACACACACACACACACCCCTACGCACTCAGCTACACCTGCGCATGCACACACGGCCATATATTAACTCTGATTTACAAGTGCACCCTAGCCAGAGGGCAAACGGGAAAGTCTTACTCTTTAGAGAGGAATGACCACCACCCCCCGCCAGTAGCGCCTGGGGTGACACGTGGGAACACAAGCATCCCTCAGGACCTGGCCCCTGACTGCACCCCCCCACCCCGGGCCAACCTCCAGGAGGCAGAGCTCCCTGTCCCCGCACGCACAGGGAGGCCAAGACCTCCAGGCAGAGGGCCAGGATCCACCCCGGTGACCTGGTGACTGCGTGAGTAGGAGCTCCGGGCAGACTCCCAGGCTGGTCCCAGCGCTGCCCACCCATGGACACCTCTTGGAAAGCTTTGGGGGCAGCAGCCTTGGGGAGTGCATGAAAGTCTTGGGCAGGCGGAATCTCGAAGGAAACTGAGTCTCGGGATGTCGCTGTGTCCTCTGAGGAGGGGCAGGCAGGGTGTGGCTGGCTTGGCTGAGGTGGGAACCCAGAAGCTGCTGCTGCACAAGGTGAGGACGAGGAGGGGCCCTGCTGTCAGCAGCGTTGGAGGCGCCGCGGAGGGGCGGAGGCTCCCCCTGTGCTCCTCGTCTCAGGGGGCCAGGCTGTGCCAGGGGGCACGGTCTCAGGACAACACTCGGGCCAGAAAGTCCTGCGGCTCGAGGGCAGCCCCTGCCGCTCCTCCCGCCCAGCCTGTCCTGTGCCCTGTGGCCTCCTCCAGGGCTCTGTCTGCTATTTGATGAAGTTCTTGATGGTCCACCTCTGTCCCGTGCAGCTGCGCAGGATGAGGTCGATGCCTGCCAGGCCGCGGTTCTCCACCTCCAGGCAGCGCCCGGTGCCCTTGTTCATGATGGCTCCGTTCTGGGGTCAGTCGGAGAGAGAGGAGAGAAGGACAGAGACGGAGACACAGAGAGAGAGAGACACACACACACACACACACAGCGACAGAGACACAGGGACAGATGAAAAGAATGGGTGGAGAGAACGTGAAGACAGAGAGAAAGTCAGGTTTGCAATGTCCTCACATGACCTCCCATGGGGACAGCCCTGCCCAAACTGCCTGCCCATGGTGGGGGAGGGGAGAGAAGGGGTGCTCCCTGGGAAATGCTGGAATCCAGAAGAAATAAATGCGTTTTCCTGAGTTAGATGGGGGTCCCAAGTGCCCAGTATGGATATGCAGGGACCCAGAGAGGCGCGATCCAGAGGTTTGCCTGCCCTCCTCAGTCCTGCTGACTGAAGGACCTTAGCAGATTTCAGCCACCCCACCCCACCCCAGGAGAGATCATGGCCCAGCCTGCCCTCACGACTTCAACACCCCACCCTGAGCTCTGGGAGCCGCGTCTGGCTCTTTGGTGTAGACCTATGGTGCCCTTGGTGGGTGTCAGTGGTCTTGTCCCAGACTGGCAGATTTTCAGTTCCCTTGGCGGGTGCCCATCACCTGGCCTTCCCCTTGACCTGCAGTGCCTCACGGCTCTGGGTGCCACCACCATGCAGCCCTCACCTGGATGAAGTTCCAGCGCTTGGACAGACTGCTCTTGACCTTGTCGCAGTCCAGGAGCTGAGGCAGTCGGCTCTTGGCACTGTCCACCAGGCAGCGGGTGTCGGGTAAGAGTGTGGTGGTCCCCAGGGCTCCCAGATGCAGGAAGCCTTCCTTGGTGTAGCGCGCCAGCTGCAGGGAGAGGAGAGAAAAGGAGAGGAGAGCACGGAAGGGGAGGAGAGGAGAGGAGAAGGGAGGAGAGGCGAGAGAGGGGGAGGAGAGGGAAGAAGGGAAGGTGGAGAAGGGAAGAGGTAGAAGAAAGAAGGGAGGAAAGGATGGGGAGGGGATGGGAAGTCAGGGGAGGAATGAAGAGGCGACAGCTTCAGTACTGGGGGCACAGCCACAGGCTCACCAGGCTTCTGTGAGCCTGAAGTCCCTGCCACCCACACAGCCCCAGGCTCCCAGGAAGCTGCCCCCAGGAAGCCCTCGGCTTACTGAGCCTGAAGACCATCATGTACCTGGGCTACACCCTGGATTTTTTGAGCATGCTAAGTGGTTGAGGACTCACCCTTCCTGCCTGCAGCCTGGGTGCAGGCTAAGAGGAGCACAGAGAGTCAAGTCAGCCAAAGACAGGCCATTGGAGCTGATCTTGAAAAAACTGCCTCTTGGCTGAGATCTCCAAGCCCACTCAGATCGGGACTGAGCCTCCTCCCCCCCCAGCTCCCCAGTTTTCCAGTAGCTTGGCAGTCACAGCCACCAACTGCCCCTGGCACCAGGTAATCTCATCAACAGCCAAGACCCAGAGACTATAAACTAAAGCTTCTGGAAGAGAATAATGGCAGAATTTCCTGAAGGGCGTGGCCACATTCACAGCCACGCAACTTCTTATACCCTAGTCCACTGATGTACCTAAAATAGCACACATGTGTTTGGTTTTAACATACTTGCTTGTGTTCTCTTATATACAGGCTTAAATGCCCCTTGAATGAAATACAACAACCCTCAAACACTTCCCTCTTATTGTGGTGGGAAGATGCTCGCTGGTTGGGTGGGTGTTTGAATATTATCTGTAATGAACTATTGTGATTTACTTCATGAAAATAAAATGCATAAAATTCGCAAAAGAAAAAGAAAAAGAAAAACTGCCTCTGCTTCCATGGGCTGGGCCAATCATTGTATAAGAAGTTGCGTCTCCATTGCCTCTGCCCTTGGGGACCCGCAGGAATGCCAGGATCCTGCTGCAGAGGACCCCAGAGGCCAGCCCAGAGTCAGACACACACAATAAACAGCCTCCAGCCTCACGTGTATGAAATGCATGACTACAGCAGTGGCGAGATGCCGCATTTCCAGCATGTGTTTCCATGTCGTAGAGGCCAGCAGGAGACAGGCTCTGGAAGAGGTCACTCCTCCAGACTCTCTGTGCTCTGTCTGACAGGGCCTGGGCTACACTCACTTTAGAAACCCACCCCGGGGAAATGATCCCAACTGTGAACAAGAGTTTGTGGACAGGGTATTTATCCCAACATCACTGATGAACCAGTGATTGCAACAATATTAAAGTCGTTACCAAAATTCTGCAGTGTAGTTATTACTGCCCAATGTTGCAACATTATGATGAAAAGGAAGAAATGCCCCCTCCCATGTAGCACGGTGGGCCTCTACTTCCAGTGCATGCAGGATGCTGGAGAATATATAGCTCAGCCACAGCCTTCACTCTCTCTCCGTGTCCACAAAGCACAGAATTCCCCTCAGAACCTGGAGCCTACGCCCCCAGCCCTGAGTACTGGTTGGCGCTGTGTCTTGCTTTTGCCAGCAGAGTGTGGCAGAAGTGAAGACGGGCATGAGTTCGCTCCTAGACTGGATCTTGACCTTTGTCCACTTCCTCCAGCAGTGAGCCCAGGTTGGGGTGCTGGAGGGTGAGACACACAGCTCTAATGCACAGCCGAGAGATGCTGCCTAGATCAGTCAGTCCTGAGCCGACATGCTCGCTGACAGATGCACGGATCCATCCGGTCCAGATCACCAAGACTCAGAGGGCAGAAACGTGCTACTGACCCACAGTCCCTGGGCAAGAGTCAGTGCCACCGAGTTTTGGAGTGGTGCTTATGCAGCCGTAGCCGATGCAGGGATGCTTTTGTCTGCTGCGTTGCACCAGAGGACCCAGGCCGGATGATGGGCCTTCCTGCTCCACCCTGCTCATGTTGTTTAAGCCCTAGCATGCTACTCTAAACACAGGCAACCTGTCTCTGGTGCTCCAGCAGGGGCAAGGACCATGTGTAGCTCATTTTTGGATAGGAGGAGAATCAACCCCCACCTCATGGGCTGCAAATTTGTCTGTGGTTGAGCATGTCTCCATGGGAAAAAAATAAGCACCCACATTTATTTATTTATCTATCGACTTTGGGGTTTGGGGGTCTTCCTGGCTGTGCTGGGACTTATTCCCAGCTCTGCGCTCAGGGATCACTCCTGGCGAGTCTCCAGAGATCAGGCTCACTCTGCAATGATGCCAGTACAGGTTGGTGAGGCGAGGCTGGGGACAGTGAAGCCCCATGGTATGAGTGGAGATAGGCTGGCATCATTTTATTCCTTTCTAATTAAAATAATTGTTTGTTGAACTGCACCATGCTATCTCAGGTTGGCTGAGAACAGCAGTACCCTACCTGCTACCCTCTCGGCCCCCAAGGCAAGCACCATTTTACTTATTTATTTATTATTTATCCTTTTTTTTTTACAAAGGTAGTTTATTTTTTATTTTATTTTATTTTTTGCTTTTTGGGTCACACCCTGCAATGCACAGGGGTTACTCCTGGCTCATGCACTCAGGAATTACTCCTGGCGGTGCTCAGGGGACCATATGGGATGCTGGGAATCGAACCCAGGTTGGCCGTGTGCAAGGCAAATGTCCTACCCGCTGTGCTATTGCTCCAGCCCAAGGCAAGCATCATTTTAAAGCTGTTTGCACCATGACATTTTTTTTCTCCACAACTCAGAGAGACTCTAGAACTCTCCCCATTCTAAGTATGAGAAAAAAAAGACCTGGGGACATCTGGTCACCTGGCTGGCCCTGCTCTCTCTCCCTGTGTCCTGAGAGGCTGCCCAGTGCCTTGTGCTGGACCACGCTCGAAGCAGAGCTTGGAGCAGGGTGTCTGCCCTGGGGAGGGGTCTCAGCGGGTCTCTGCCCCTGGGGAAACTCCTCAGAACCCCTGCTCTGACCTCCAGAGGGGAGCTGCTTGCTCCTTCAAAAACAAGCCAAACAAGTGACAGGAGTTCATTAAGTGCCCTTGAGAGAGAGGCGGTTAACGTGCTCTAAACCCAAATTAGTTCCAAATCAGAGTAATTGTTAGAGGCAAAATCGTAAGAGAATCAGAAACCCTCCTCCCCTCCCTAAACAATGTCTCCCTGAATCTATTTAAATGCACCAAATGCAAAGTGATGAATGACAGTTCACTGCCTTTATATTCCGGGAAAGACATACACAGCTGCTTATTGAAATTATGAATCAATCTATTATCCAGCAGGCAAATGAGTAGCGCGAAGAACATTAATTAACTGAGCATATCTGTGACCCAGATGTTTAAAGAGCAAAGCTAAACGCTGGGAGGAGGGAGATGCTCTCCTGCTCAGCCCTATTAGGGTGGAAACAATGGGACCCTGCTGTTGGGACCTGCAGAGGCCAAAGCTGGCCCAAGTCAGACAGAGGCTGTGTGAGGGAGGGACTAGGGGGGAGGGGCTTTGTGAGGCAGGGAGTGGAGGAGGGGTGTGTGAGGTATGGAGGGGCTTTATGAGGTAGTTAATGACAGGGGCATTGTGAGGGCTGGAGGGGCTTTAAGAGGTGGTAGTAAGGGAGCAGCTATGTGAGGGAAGGACTGAAAGGCGGAAGCTTTCTATAAGGGGACAGATGAACCTTGTGAGGAAGCGACTGGGAAAGAATGGGTGATGTGTGTGAGAGAGGGGCTAAAGGAGGGAGGAACTGTGTAAAGGAGAGAGGGAAACAGGGAGGAACTGAGGAAGGAGCTGTGTGAAAGGGGGACTAAGGGAGTAAGGGAGGAACTGGAGGAGGGACTGAGGGGGGACTGAGAGTGTGATAAGGGAGGAATGGGGGACTGAGGGAGGGCCAAGGGCGAGCTGAGGGCGGGCCGAGGGCGGGCCGAGGGAGGGCTGAGGGAGGGCCGAGGGCGGGTTGAGGGCAGGCCGAGGGCGGGCTGAGGGAGGGCCGAGGGCGGGTTGAGGGCAGGCCGAGGGAGGGCCGAGGGCGGGCTGAGGGCGGGCCGAGGAGGGGCCGAGGGTCGGCCGAGGGTGGCCCGAGGGCGGCCTAAGGGAGGGCCGAGGCCGGCCGGCGGAGGGAGGGTTGAGGGAGGGTTGAGGGTGGGCCGAGGGCGGGCCGAGGGTGGGCCGAGGAGGGGTCAAGTGCCGGCCGAGGGCGGGCCGAGGAGGGGCCGAGGGTCGGCCGAGGGTGGCCCGAGGGCGGCCTAAGGGAGGGCCGAGGCCGGCCGGCGGAGGGAGGGTTGAGGGAGGGTTGAGGGCGGGCCGAGGGCGGGCCGAGGGCGGGCCGAGGGAGGGCTGAGGGAGGGCCGAGGGAAGGCCGAGGGAGGGCCGAGGGCGGGCCGAGGGTGGGCCGAGGAGGGGTCAAGTGCCGGCCGAGGGCGGGCCGAGGAGGGGCCGAGGGTCGGCCGAGGGTGGCCCGAGGGCGGCCTAAGGGAGGGCCCTGGCCAGCCGGCGGAGGGAGGGTTGAGGGAGGGTTGAGGGTGGGCCGAGGGCGGGCCGAGGGAGGGCCGAGGGAGGGCCGAGGGAGGGCTGAGGGTGGGCCGAGGGAGGGCTGAGGGAGGGCTGAGGGAGGGCCGAGGGAGGGCCGAGGGAGGGCTGAGGGAGGGCCGAGGGAGGGCCGAGGGCGGCCGAGGGCGGGCCGAGGGCGGGCCGAGGGAGGGCCGAGGAGGGGCAAAGTGCCGGCCGAGGGCGGGCCGAGGAGGGGCCGAGGGTCGGCCGAGGGTGGCCCGAGGGCGGCCTAAGGGAGGGCCGAGGCCGGCCGGCGGAGGGAGGGTTGAGGGAGGGTTGAGGGTGGGCCGAGGGAGGGCCGAGGGCGGGCTGAGGGCGGGCCGAGGGCGGGCCGAGGAGGGGTCAAGTGCCGGCCGAGGGCGGGCCGAGGAGGGGCCGAGGGTCGGCCGAGGGTGGCCCGAGGGCGGCCTAAGGGAGGG